CTACTGCTGTTGTGTAGTTTGATTTCAATGTTGAAGTTTCATTATCTCTATTATTTGGAAATTTACAGGTAGTGTTACTTTGAAATAAGGAATGATATCATTTTTGGGTATTACTATCTTACTTTCATGTGAAGCCATTAAAAGTCATGATTATTAAAAAAATAAAATGTAAGAGAGGAATTAAAAGTATTGATAGCTTAAGAAAGAAATTAAAAGCATTGATAGCTTAATAAGTATTGAAGAATGCATCTTTGATTAATATATAAGACTTCTTCAATGGCTGTTCAGATATTGAAATTTAAAAATGAAGGGAGACTTATGAGTGAAAAATGAAATTCATATAAGAATAAATGACAGAAGACAAATGCGATTTGTTAACGGATGATGATATTTATCACGGTAAACAATAAATGAAGTAATGAACGATTCAGTGGATAGAGAAGGGTCAGAACGGGTTCAATGTATGCCAGTGAATTTCCTAGCGAAGAGTGAAATTCGAAATTCTTTACTTTCCACTCCGTTTTCATGTACCCTACATCTATTGTTTCTTCAATTTTTTCTCTGAAATATTCATTCCTTTCTCATAACTGTCCTGAAAAAAAAGTTATCGAAAGATGACTGACGATTTCCCAGTCGTTGGTGCACTGTGTACTGCACTTTCATTGATAGGAACTTGTCAACCTTATTTTTATCATTACCAATAATGCACATAACCAAGAAAGATTTTTTAAATTTTGGATTAATTTTTTTTTTATTTTTCAATATTTTTTTATTTGTTATTGCTATCTAAAACTATCAGCTAGATCCTCTTCTTTTAGGAATAGGGAAAAGAAATAAAAAATACCTGGAGAAGGTAGTTATCGTTTTACTAGTTAGTATGTCTTATCGTCTTCATCTGAGGCACATTTCATCCTTCTGTACCTAAATTTTAAATTTAATGGAACTTCAGAAGTGATACATGTGGTCATTCCTGCTGATATCCTTCTGCGTTCAGGAAATCAGTTCATTCGAAAATGAGTTGTTCCCAAGTAATTTTTGCAATTTTTGAAATGAAGAAAATTGTTGAAAAGACGATCACAAGTGAAGAATTGATAGAAGATTTTGAGAAATTATTATTAATACCTTATATGTGAAAAGAATATCACAGGCGATTGCGACTGTCGTGACTGGAACGGTGGATGCAGGAGAAATGGTGAGAAGTGGCTTGACGATGATACTTGGGTCTACAGATGTAATGGAAAGGACGGGTATAAAAAGTTTTGCTAGCCTATACACATACAAAGATGGGAATGAAAGAAATGATTAGTACATTTCTTTTCAAGGAATTTAGCTTCCTCATGAAGTGCTGTCAATAATGATTTGCAGTTATCAATCAGAATTTCTGGGTTGTCAAAGTAGCGATCGATCGGGGAAGGTATTAATTCAGGCTGGTGACAATAAAACTATTGATGGCTTTTGGTTTAGTTGTAGTCATAATACGTTCAGGCTTAAATATGAGGAAGGTAAGGATGAACTTTACATAGAAAATCCGAAGACTTAATGATTTCATCTATAAGAATCATTCATAATTTCTTCGTTCTGAATAGTTAAGAATTTCCATCTAATTTTAGAACCTCGATGTGTGGTTAATAATACGCAATATCATACAGGTGATCTGTTCCGAGAGAATTATTTCCAGTGGCTCTGTTTGGAAAATGGTCGATGGATTACAGGTAAAGTTGTTATTCGTCATGTTTTCAAATGAATTGGATAAATATTAAAGATGTGTCTCTGTATATGATAAACAATTACAGGTTGTTATTATCAAAATGAAACGAAACACTGGATTCTGTTGAAAATTGGTCAGACCGGTTACAATGGCCTCGTGAAACATGTTTGTGATCAGTATGACGACTATCCAGGAAGGGTGCAATACTACGCTGAAGTAATTTTCTCAGTTATGGTTGCTAATTTCTGTTTATTAATTTAGTATCAGCAGTGCTTTATCATCATTTTAAAGCAACTGGATGACCTGCACAAGCTACACGTCCTTGCACTGCTTTGGAAGTTACCAAAACATTCCCTCCCTAATATTACTAATATTTAATGTTATATGTTGGATGGCTAATTTTTTTATTTGTTTATTTGCAGGTGCGAAAAGATGTGTCCGTCAAGCATCCTTCGAACAAGGGCAAAAATGCGAATTTGCCACAACTGATCGATAATCGTTTAAAAGACGCACCAGTTCGTTGGCTTCACACAAATGCAGCCAATTTCATAATCAGTAATGAAGGCTTCAAAACAAAGATTCGTTATCTGCCCGATTCCAGACAAGTGTAGATAATGATGCAGTTTATAAACATTTTGAACTCGATTAAATTTTTGTTTTATTTGACTAAGTTTTAATTTACACAAATCAATAATTGTTAAAATCTTCGTATCAGTAATGTCTACTTCAACAAGTACTGCAAAGTATGACCGAACAATCTAAGTGGTTATCATTCACAAATCATAAGAGGCACACTTCCAACATGCAGTTTAATTTTCAAAAGATTATTTCTGCCTCCTCCCTTGTATAGTAGAAATGAGGTAGAACAGTTCGAACTACCAATGGACTCGACCCAGAGTGCAACATTCACTAGTGTCGCCATGTCATCATCCAACGCATTATCTTTCCTGTATCTTTCTACATCATCAGGAAATGTTGAACTTTATGCTTCATTTTGTATTTCACTTCATTGCATGCAGCCGCCTTAATTTTTTTTCGCATTTTATGCTGGACAAGTTGAGTACTGAGGAAATGATTTGGAAAATAAAGTGGAGTTGTGATATGTGCAACCTGCTATTGTTATTATTCGAATTGCAGTAAAAAATAATAATGATATTATATTATCAATCTGAAAATTTGATGGCTTTTTTCATGCTTTCCTTATTCTTCTTTTCAGTTCTTACCATGAGTATTTTTCAATTCCATTACTTTGCAGTTTACAGCATAATCCAGGAAGATATATAAGTGCAAAGATTTGAGTTGAGGTTGCCACACGAAAAAATATCTGTTACATTACCATTACATTAGCATGCCTTAAATACGAGAAGTCAGACGTATCAAAAATAATTTGTAACTTTTTTGTTTAACTCACAGTGAACTGCAAGGGAGAAGTCAAATCAAATATCAACAATGTTATAAGTGAGCAACATTCCTTATTGTTTACACCCTCTTCCATTTCTGTTATTTTTCTGTTTCATCATTTCCCATTTAAATTGCTATTCGAAAACAAATCTTTTCGCTATTTTCTAGCAACTCATGTACATCGATCATTTTTGATTTCAAACTTTCTTACTCTTTTAATTCGCAAATATACCGAATATCAATCCTTTTAACATCAACCCTATTTAATGATATTGACCATCAATGGAAATTAAAAATGTAAGAAAAAGTTACAAGTTTTTGAATTAATAGATAAAATGTAAATGTCTTATCATTGCTGTAAGATTCATACGATACAATTCGTTTATTACTTTTTTAATTCCTCTCTTTTCTCATTGATATTTCTGAATGGGATATTATTACGCACATGTTTCTTTGTGGTTAATATGTAAACATACTTTTAAGACTCAACTCTACACCAGAAAAACAAGTAGGATCACCACTATAGATAAGCTAATATTTATGTGATTCGTTCATCTAATGTCTCATTCTGCTCTGGCCAGTGTAAGGTGAGAGAACTGAGGTTTGAGTGGAGGAAGGACTGAATTAAGTAGATTGATCAACATTGGAGATGGTAAAAAGTGACATGAAAATAGATGAAGGGTTACAGGGCTGATAAAAGTTGCGGTAACGACTGATTACACAGAATAAGAAATATGACACATACGCTTGCATTAGTCATCGTTATCCTATTGCTTCAGTTTGAGAGGTTTTGAGATGAGATTGTTCATGCCATATAATAATATTATCAATCAATAATTAGTTAATTAGTCAGTTAGAGTTTTATGAAGTTGAAATTTATGCAATTCAATGATTTCATCTACTTCTCTTACTGGATTTAACTGATAATATTCCACAAATTGAATCCATAAGGCATAAAACGTGGAATGAGCGAGATGGTAGCATGTTTACTTCCTGATTCACTGATTTTTCCAGTCACAACTTTTTAAATTACTTGTTTTTTGTTTTATATTCCTTGATACATCATAACTATCGGGAGTTTAGGTGATCCAGTGATCCCCTATTTTGAAGTAAACCTTTTTATGGAGTCAAAATGACAGTCGTTCCAATATAATAAATTGAACATGCTCTGATTCTTAAATTGCTTTGCATTTCGCTGATTTACGAACGGTTTGTTGGCGCATCTTTACTTAAGTAACTAATAAATGCGTTAAAAGACAGTAATTAAAGTGGCTTCGGCATAACATTAGATCCATTAAAATGCTTTCATTCTTCCTGATAGGAAAGCGAAACGAAACCCAGTCATTATCATCTATTAGCAGTTGTGAAAAAAGCCACTGCAAAGAAATGAAACTGCTGAAGTAGTCCAAAGAGAAAAAGTAGTCGTTCTGTGCCACTGTATCACAATCCTAATTGGCGTATGTCACTTATCTTGGCATTCTCATTTTCGAGATAGGACCAGGATTCATTAAGTTATACATTTTTTACAAATGAAGCAGAGTGTTAAGCAAAATAAGCAATTGCTGATGAGAAGCTGTAATACACAACGATTTCCCATTTCTTAAAATTATCAAGGAGAAATGAGATGCAATTCTTCCGCCGTTGCTATATTTTTGCAAATTTTGTTTATTTTGTCTCTAAATATACAATTATGCAGTTGTCCGGTAAGCTGCTTGAAACCAAATCCACAACTGCCCTGGAAAGCTAGTGATAAGAATGCATAGAAGGCTATCACACCACTCAAGATAGTTATATCATGATATTACAGACAGATGGTTTCCCGAGTTAGAGAGAAGTGAGGAGAGAAGTGCTATCACCATTACGATTACCAACAGGAAGAGTCAAATCGAGCATGAACCAGGTCTGTGGGATTTTATTTCGATTAGAACTACCATGAGCATATTCCTAGTGATAAGACAGTGACTCACCCGTTGATCGGTGGTCAGTGCGACTGAAAGACGTTCTCTGACCTCTCATTCGATTCACACAGCTAGAGAGGAGATGAGAGAGTAATTCAGTTGCTTTCCTGAATTCGATCTTACCAACGAGTCGTCTTATCGGCATGGGACAAGAATTCTTCGCTGATCAGCGGAAGCAGGTATTTCACATATTCAAGAAATTTCTCTCGGTTAGCGACAGAGGGGTATTTTCCTGATCTGGGCCTCGAACTTGACAAATCTTAAAACACTCTTATAATCTATCTCGAAATGGACTGAATGCTGGAAACGGACTTCCATCGATTCATTTGCCTTGCATCTCTTCTACCGCGGTGTACTGTTGAAGCATAACACACTCCGATGATATGCTTATCAAATCAACTGATACTTTTCCACTTTCCTTTAGCCAATATACTGCTTACGCACAATATTGACTTTATTCGTATGCTTTCCACATATTCAAATCTGGAAAATGTTTCATGAAAACAACTTCCACTGATGTTTCAACAAACAGTTGGTATAGTGGATATGTACTCCACTCTCTACAAATCATTGTTTTAACAGGAACTTTTCATCACCTGAGCCATAATATATACATTCTGGAAAAAGTGAATTTGACGACATGATATATCAAATTAGAAAAAGAGTGTAGCAGAGATTCTTTCGAATAGGTCTTATGAAGGAGAAGATACTTTTTTCTGAACGTTTGAGCATATCAACTATGGCTTACGGCTTTGCTATCTGCTAGATCATTAAGAGAAGTCTTCAGTTGGAGCATTAATTAGGACATCATGTTATTGTTTATTCAAAAATTTTTTTGTGCAAAGGTGAACAAATGAATTCACTCCTATAGCACTGCACCTGTAAAATCTGTGCATGCAAGAAAAACTGAGCAGAAATCTGTTTGTATGGATAGCAACTATTTCTCAGGTAGTAATACTTTCTTTCCTTTCCTGTCGCCGCTTACAACAGAGATCAGTGATAGAATTCAGCTCTTTTCAGTGTTGTAGAATCTCCACAACAATAATAGACTATTTGCTTCCTCGGCAGCTTCTTCCTTCTATATTTCATCCATTTATTCATGCTGATAGTTTCAGGAAATAACGGAAATACACAATTAAAAATGCGTTCATGTTAACGTGGATACATATTAAGCTGTTGTGTTCTATTTATATAGTTAACTTGTGCATTGTATTGAGCTCAGATGAAAGTAATCAAATTCCGCTCTTTTCCATTCTGAGTCACAGTAAAGAATTTTAGAGAACATTAATGGTCAAAAAAGGGATGGAAATAAAAATTCATTACCTGAAAATTATGCTGTTAGAATGAACTTGGGAGCCATTAGTTGTGACTATTAACTTAATGTAATTTAGGAAACCTTTGAGTTGGAATATTCACGTAAACAGCTTCAAGCAGGAAAATTATGCAGCATCGAAAAAGTGAAGTTGAAAGTGTTACCAAGGAATATCCTAAAATCAGTGTTATCATTCTTTCCTATACTTCATTGGCTTCCAAGATACAATTGGAAAAGAGATTTGAATGGCGATATTATCGGAGGTCTAACTGTTGGAATTATGCAAGTCCCACAAGGTTAAACCTAACTTTTATTCAGTAGTCATCTAAATTTACTATTTTAGTTTAATTTCTTTGTGTTTCTTTAAAAGCCAGAAAAGTGGTCAAGAAGTTCTGTATTTCGTTCTATACAAATAGTTCTATATTCTATATTATAATCGTTATACATTTGGTGTAAATAAGTAAAAAAATATGATCAAGAGTAAGAACTCTAATAGAATACATGCGTAACAAATTCGAGTGTTTGGCGTACGCAAATTTGTTCAGGAATGGCGTACGCAAATTTGGCTAGTCTTCCGCCAGTTTACGGAATGTATACGTCGTTCTTCACTTCAACCTTTTATGCATTCTTTGGAACATCGAGACACATTTCAATTGGTGAGGGATACAGTATTTCTGCTTCTGTCATTTCGTCAAATCACTATCATTTATTCACAAGAATATGAGGATATAAATATAATCTTTTAAAAATAAAAAAGATCCGGAAGCAGCAGGAAGTATTCGTTGTTGCTAATAGAAAAGTAATATAGGTTTAGTTCAAGTCCTTTTCTTCTGCATTTAAGCTTTTTGCCTTAAGCTTTAAGATTTTTCGTACTTTTGCATGCAGAAATTTCATTTTATGCCGAAATGGAAGAAAACCTAAATTATTTAGGAGTGTATGAAATTCTTTGGAGTCATTTTCACTGTCGGAGATTCTGGTGCTATCTAGAAAAATGATAAGTCTCAATATTTTCTTTCGTTTTTCTTAATTTCTGAATAATTGGTAGCTTTTTCTTACTTCTTAATAATTAATGACATCATTTATTCTGTAATCGTTCGAGAAATCGAGAAAAGTGTAATTCTCAATGAAAGGTAAGATAAGCTATATAATATAGAGATAAAGAAAAATTAATAAGATAAAGAAAGATAACCCTTCACACAATATCAGCACGAATACATCAAAATCACAAGGAAATTAAAAAAGGTAAATGTGATTACTTTTTCTGTCATTGTGCCGTGCAAACGTGATTCCTGCAGTTAAGTTGTCAGTCCCAGTTCCTTCAACGGCATCGTAACTGAGTTGATAAGTATATTTTTTGATTAAAAAAAATTTACAGGTGTTTTTGCCGTGGCAAGTTTGATGGTAGGAGCAGTGCGATTACGTTTTGTACCTGATCCGGATGTGGTTTTTGAAGTGATAAATGGTTCCAATATGGAAGTCGTAAAACCAGTAGTAGGTCCAGTAAACTTTGGTTATGAAGTTTCCCCGGTTACCCTTACAAGTGCGCTCGCTATGGCTGTTGGACTATTTCAAGTAAGCAGCCAGTGAATCCAAGACAAAACGCTGTTCGATTAAATAGAGTTGACTGCTCATCGAGCCCACTAAATAGAACAACTGATGATTGAAGTGATAAATCTTCTTCGGATGACCTATTTGGAATGAATGCCCATGATAGAGGTGGAAAGCTTAAGCAGTTAGGAGATTGGCTATTAAATAGTATAATCAACATACATCAAATTTACAGAGTGCTGTAGCACTCTTGAATAAAAGTTTCTAGAGATGGTTTGAAAGGGGATCTTGCGTCACATCTCATTGAAAACCAACTATCGATTCACGTGTGAGAATCTGCGAGATATTTTGCAGGTGTCATTCCTGGTCCAAAAAACGTTCATCTGAGAATCTAATTTGAATAACTCTATATGGCTTAACCCTTTAGAATATTTGTATGCTAGAAACTACTTTTTTTTTGAGATTTCCATGTTATGCAACATTTTATAACTCATGTAAACTTCTGGTCGCCGTTTGAGAGAGTTAAAACAATCAGAAATAAATAGTCTATTATTTAACAATAGAAAGAAATTGAAATATGGCAAATGTTTCTTTTCTGGATTAAAGGGACTGTAGTGACATATTTCAAAAATCGATGTTTTAGAGAGAAATAAATATAAGAACGGTTTTGAAATGTAGTATACATGCTTAATAAGTAATAGCAGATTTTCAGCTAGTAATGGCGATGACGGGTCTGGCATTCCTTACTACTTACATGTCAGATGCTCTTATTTCCGGTTTCACTACGGGATCAGCTTTTCATGTTTTTACAGCACAACTTAACAAAATCATTGGTGTAAAATTACCGCGTTATTCTGGTTTCAGCATGTTATTCTTTGTAAGTCTCAAGAAACTCATCCAATTTTTGTTTTACTAAGTTGCAAATCCTCGCTTCTTTTTCCGTTTCACGTATTTTTGATTAAAAGTAGGAAGTAATATCGATATTTGTGCATGTTCCCTGTTTGCTTCCTTAACATCTTTTCATTTTTATAGTTGGACAATATTCTTTTGATTCGCTTTTCTTATCTTTTAATTAGTGTCGTATCGTTTTCACTTGTTAATCATCAAAATATATTAAAAGAAGATAGTTATAGATGATGCGTGATCTGATATTGGCTTTGCCACAGACGAATTATTGGACTCTTTGTATATCAGTATTGTCCATTATATTTTTATTTGTTGGCCATGGGTATGTAAATCCATGGTTTAAAAAGCGGTCATCTGTACCATTGCCTATTGAGCTTATTTTAGTAAGTTGTCAGAGAATTTCTAACTGCCGCTAAATTTAATCCTATCATAAAAGCTGTTCTACGTTCAAAAATTGTTAGGAAAATATTAAATAGTAGCACAGATAGTATGATATAGGCGCATATATCTCTGACGATGTCACTCTGAACTATTTCGATTATGCTTTTAGGTTATTTTGGTAACAATATTTTCGGTATATATGGATCTGAAGAGTAACTATGGTGTAAAAGTTGTTGATTATATCCCTCAAGGGTTAGCATTTTTAAAGATCAATAAAGCAAAATCATTCTGTCTTCCATTTTTGCTGACGAAATCTAAAATGATCTATTCTATCTGACATACATTAATTTCACCAGAGAGATTCACTTTTCGTATTGAACTAGAGACGTGCTCTATAAAAGTTTATAATTTGACCTTTTTTGATTACAGAATTCCGACACCATCACTACCGAACTTTGATTTAATACCATATCTTTTGAATGATGCATTCGCGATAGCAATTATTTCATATATGTTTGTTGTATCGATGGCTAAATTATTCGCAAAGAAGAGGCGTTATAAAATTGATCCTACACAGGTATATCTTGATGATTCAAATACAATTTATAAATGAACCACTGTGTTTGTAAGGTGACTTTATCATTCGAATATAGAAAGCCAATTTAGATAAGTGTTAAAGATTCAGAATTAGTATAGAATTGTAAATGTTGAACTCTGCTTCTTCTGTGTAGCCTTTTCCAGGTAATAATCTGTTTTTATGCCAGGATTTATATGCAGTTGGCTTGATGCATACATTATCATCTTTTTTCCCGATCTTTCCTGCCGGTGGTTCACTTTCACGGTCAGCTGTATGTGAGCAGTCTGGTGCTAATACTCAGGTCGTTTTCAGTTTTCTATATTCTAAATATGCTCTGTTTTCGTTCTTATTGTAAATCGTTTCAGTTGAATATCTTGTTCTCGAATACATTACTCTTAACTGTTATTGTTTTTATTGGACCGTTTCTTGAACCTCTTCCTATGGTTAGTTTTCATTCTTTTGGTTCATTCTTTAGTATGGTTAATTTTCATTTTTTTGGTTTTATTTTTCCTAAACTTTTGTGGATCCTATCCATAATTGGATTCCTCTATCAAGGGTGTCAATGTAGTCAAGTAGTGAAAATAGGTCTTCGTTGCCGTATTCAGTAAAGCAGCAAAAATTCCTAATAGACAGTCATCGATCAATTAACAACTTGGATTAAAATTGTAGTGCGTACTGGCTTGCATTGTAATTGTAAGTCTGAGAAGTCTTTTCATGCAATTCGGTGAATTGTCGAAATTATGGCGAATCTCAAAATTTGATTTCGTTAGTGCTTATATCTTCCTTTTTCATAACTGTTACTTTAGCTGTTATATGCAGTAAGATTGGTTTTGTTTTTCAGATATTGTTTTTTTTTTTTTTTTTTCAGAACTAATTATCAATTTAATCACTTTAGGCAGTGTGGTTGGTGAGCTGTATAGCAACAATATCTTTCGATGTAATGACTGGCCTTATGATATCAGTTCTTTTTACACTCATCTCTGTGGTCCTTAGAGAACAGCGGTTTGCAGTTTTATTTAGAAGTGATGATCAGTAAACTATAAAAAGCAATTAAATTCATGTAACAAATTATTTTCTTTTTAGACCTAATATATTCATAATGGGTAGGACGACGATACATCGTGAAATCTATAGACCTCTGATTTATTATCGTGGTTTAAAGCCGGTGAATGAAAATATTGAAATTATTCGTTTCGAAGCAGCTCTCAATTTTATCACAGTATCGAGCTTTCTTAGTAAAATGAGCGAGGTTTTGCGAAGTGACTCAAGAGAAGATTGTGAATTGCAAAGTATAAAAAATGTTAGTCTTCTGATACTATTTATAGAAAATAGTGTTTATAACTTAATGCATATGGTGAAATTAGCATGCAAACAATATAGCAGCTGTGCTATATATATATATATATATATATCAGCACTCAGTGCATTGAAAAAACTCTCCTCATACATTATTTAATATGACGCTTTCGCATGGAAAATATAGTTTTGTGAGAGACAATGATAATTTTCCTACCTCGAGTGATTTTGTTTTGAAACTTTTTCACAGTCGTATTAGGCCCATTTTTTCAATTTGGCAATATTTCGATTTAGAAAAGTCTTATCAATAGTCAAGATTTAGCATATTTGCACTTCATTTGATTTGCTCATTTGTCATTTAGGTAAATTTCAGAATGAAATGATAGTTTCGGAAACAGTCGCAGAACCAAATTACGAAGAATTGTTGCAAAAAGAAATGGTGATGACGAATAATATTAAACGTCAATCTTCGTATGAAGTGGTTTCTCCAACAGTTATTATCATCGATTGTGGAGCTATATCAAACATAGATACAATGGGTGTTGAAGCTATCAAAGAGGTTTACAACACAAATCTTTTTCAGTTTAAAATTTGCTATTTTACTATTAAAGACGTGAGTTATGTTTTTCCAATTAAGAAATTAAAAATAGAGAAAAATAAGTGGTGATGTTGAAAACGTATCAACCTCTGCTCTTAAAATATACTATAAATTTGTGCGATGTTACCAGTTCAGTGTTACATATTCAACTAAATATTGATCACTTGCTTTCTTGCTCCCTTATATATGAAATGAATTCAAAACCTTGTCATGATTTCTTACTTATTTTTAGACTTACTTACAAGGAAGAGATTTGAATAAAACAGTTCTATTCGCAAATGTATCAGGTTCACATTTTCTATAATAATGTTAGGATAAATCGTTGAGTTGAGAATTCATCAAAGCAATCTGCTTGTTTAATATATTGAGCCAAAATAGGCAGTTTAGACATTCCTTGATAGCTAGGTCATGAAAAGACATTACGATGCTGTTTTACAAATTATCGAACTGTATAAATGAGCCACTGATAAGTTACTTTCTCTTCTGAGCATACATAATTTTAAATTATTGAACCGCATTATATTTCAATGATTAACGTTCAAATTGGTCATCGGTGTATATGGTAGGGTAGATTTTACAAGTGTAAGGTAGAGTTAAAATTCGAGTTAAGTTAAAAATGCAAAATTTTGGGTCATTTTGAAATTCATCTTATTTCAGAGGCGATACTGGATACATTCGAGCGGATTGGTTTCTACTGTTCAGTGCCCAAAGCTTCCTTTTATCCATCTGTGGAAGAAGCTGTTCGCACCGCTAATGATAATGTAATTTAGTAGAAAATTCTACAATTTAATTAAATCAGTTGTATCCTTATCAACTAAAGTCTGTGATAAATTTTATTACACATAGAGAGAAATCGTCGACACATACAGTTTTAATATGCTTCCAAAAAGAACAAAAGACGAACATTATGGAACCCGAACTCATCAAATTATCATGAACATTTAGAAGTATCTTACCTGCCTATCAGCGCCGCTATCACTGCCCGCTACACAAACTGCATAAATTTTCTGGTGATGTAAATATATAGGAGCTGGGATGAAACAGTTATCTTCATTGTTTGATCAGCTCAATTCAGAGAATAATTGGCTCGCAGTGCCTGTAAGCGGTTGTCTCATTCTTAACTGCTTATTTACCACAACAACTTAGTGTGCATTTGATATCGGTAATAGCAGTGGGGGAAACTGTATTCATGTGCTCACAAGTTTCATCTTTCGTTTGTTGACTTAATTTATTCCGATCCAAATTGGCTTTATTGAGTTTTAAAGTGGATTTATATTCTTAATTAAAGTAAAATTTAACTACAAGTAAATTGTGTCACTTCTTAGATTCGAATTAAGAGTATAAGAAAAAAAGTATAAGAATTAATTAATGAATTAAGAGCAGTTGAGAATAAGAATTGGATGCAGCTCGTTCTTGCTAAATATAATCCAAGAATCCCGCCATTCCATTTTTACAATTTGTCTCGATGGAAAGGGATATATGTTTACTTATTTATCAAATGCGGAAAAACCTTTTACTAATTTTTTTTCAGCGAAGCAATAAGAAATAAGCGCTAAAATGGCGGCATTCGATGTTGATAACATGATTAGCCGTCTGTTAAATGTGGGTATGGCTGGTGGACGACTTACAACTCAGGCAGGACTTAGGATCTATATACTTATCTCAGTCCCTAACTTCTTTAAGTTAATTATTATAAGGAGCATTACAATTGAGAAAGGAAGGGAGGAGACAATGTTTTTTGGACTGAAATTTAAGCTTGGATGGATTAGTTATGTTTGAGTATGCGTTTGATTACTTAATAACTATTTGTGCCACTACCTGTCTCACTACTGAAACAACTGGTCTGAATGTATCAAGTCTACTAATAAAACTTGAAAAAAATGCTACAGGAGGATGCCAGAAGTCATATATCAGAAGCAAACCTAACCACTTTCATCACTCGGATAGATGGACGTTCTAAAACTACTGATACCACCAAGACCATTCAGTATCACTCGAAGTGCTTAATGCAAAATTGCTCCAACACTCACTTATTTGACGAAAGATTCAAAAGAATTATAGGTCGCTGAAGAAGAACTGCACCGAGTATGCCAAAAAGCGAAAGAAGTATTCATAAGTCAAAGCAGTCTCATCGAAGTCGATCCACCCCTCGTCGTCTGTGGTGATATTCATGGCCAAGTAGTAAATCATGTCCCATTTCAATTAATAATTCTAGAAAACTCTCTTTTCTGATTGCTAGAGAAACATATCAGAATAACATATATCATTCTTTAAGCCATGCTTTCAGGTAATTTGACATCGTCAGATTGAAAATACACTTTCCATTAAATGTAATATTTGTTATAGTATTCGGATCTGCTCCGTATTTATGACAGACATGGTTTTCCTCCGGAGTCTAACTACCTATTTTTGGGTGATTTCGTCGATCGTGGGAAACAGAATATCGAAACGATATGTCTCCAATTTTGTTATAAAATCAAATATCCCGAAAATTTTTTCATGCTTAGGGGTATGCTATTTCAAAATGTAAGCCAAGTTTTCCAAAGAAGGATAAGCTCAGATATGTTAGTATGGCTTATTACTTCACCTCTTCTTTCCTTAAAGATAGATGATAAGGATTATACTTTAAAATCTGCTCTTTTTTAATTCATTGATATAATTTATACTGCGATGGATAGTTTTAAAAAAAAAATTTCTAATTGACTTAATGCAGGAAATCATGAGACACCAGCTATCAATCGTGTGTATGGATTTTTCGAAGAGTGCAATCGCAGATATCACTCGACTCGCTTGTGGAACGCTTTCCAAGTAGTTTAGTAGGCATTGTTGTGAAAAAAAAAGGGAAAATTATAAAGAACTTTCGTAAGACCATGACCCACTTTCAGGATACATTCAACTGGATGCCTCTTTGTGGTTATATTGGTGGACGGATTCTATGTATGCATGGTGGCTTGTCACCTCATTTGAACAATTTGGATCAGCTTCGAAATTTACCACGACCAATTGATCCACCCAACCCATCTATGGAAATCGATCTACTTTGGTGATTATCAGGCATATATATGGTTATACGCAATATTGAGATGAATTTGAGATATTTACAGGTCAGATCCGGATCAGTGGGTAAAAGGCTGGCAAGCGAACACTCGTGGTGCGTCCTACACATTTGGGCAAGATGTTGTTGTGGACGTCTGCCAGAAGTTGGACTTAGATTTGATTGCACGGGCTCATCAAGTAGTACAGGATGGCTATGAATTCTTTGCCAATCGACGTCTTGTTACCATTTTTTCAGCACCACACTACTGTGGACAGTTTGACAATGCCGGTGGTACGATGTCCATTTCAGAAGACATGAACTGCTCTTTCCAGGTACATAAATACTACTTTATTTCCTATCGGAGGAATATATGGAAGATTGAATTCATTCAGTTCTGACCAGCATTTCAGGTATTTCGACCCGCTAGCAAGGCTGTAAGAATGGCAATGAAAGCTGCTGGCACTCTCTAAGCAAATATGAATATCCCACAAAACGGCGGAAATTGTTCAATTAATAATAAAACTGACCCGGATTAGTTATAACGAATTCTGTACCAGCTCCTATTTTCTGTACTTACCCGTTAGTTCAACATCCCCTCTGATACCTGAAGGTAGAAATGACATACATATCATCACTGCTGACGTAGGCATAAAATAGCTCAAACACAAACATATTCGTAGAAACAAGATTGATCCTTATTTTTAGCGTTAACAACTATTCAACTTAATAGTTTCGCAAGAAATCAGAACAGCTAAACACCGAAGAAAATAATTTGATGAGTTCAAAGTAATCGCATCCAATGAGTTCATAATGATCGGTTTATTACCACCTGGAAGAAGATGAACAAACGTAGATCGTTTGTGAATGAGTAAGCTTCTAACCATCTGTTTCGTGAGTACAGTAATTATAATCAATTCTTAATCAAAACAATATTGTAAAGCTAATAACCTCTTAACAAAATATAAGAATATAAAATTCCAATATGAAAAAGAAAAGCAAAAACATCGAGCAAAATATTAAAAAATAAAAAAGTGTTTTGAGAACACACGATACAAGAGGTATATTTCTGTACATTCTGGACGCCAACGCGATCCAGAAATTGAGGTAGATACGGCTGAATCGGCTATGCATGCGATAAAAAGACGAGGTATAAATATTCAAAGGTCCAACAGTAGAGGTATAATGTTAAGAAAGAACCAATACAATCAGATCAGAGACACATTAACATTTTAAACACACAAAAAATTTTACAGCCCTCAAACTTCAAAGACATTTCGAAGTTGCGATAAATACCTCCATTACTACTTAGCATTACAATACAACATTTCACAGTGTGGATTTTCCTCTAACTTTTCAAAATTTTCTTATAAATTTTCAAAAGTCCAACGTAATGAGTATTTTGAGGCTTTGTCGTTGTCGTTAAGACAACGACAAAGCCTCAAAATGCTTCTAAAATAATTATGGTGTTTTTTTTTTTTTATAAAAGAGTCTCCGTTACATTAATGAATGGAAGATAAATGGAATTCCGTGCGTTACTTCAGAAGTGACTTTTTCAAGTGAAGATCAATCATCCTTATTGTCAATAAGCCTATCAGAAAAGGCGAATTTATAAAGAACGTAATCTTAAAGTAAAACACGATCTACAAATCATTGCTCATCAAAAGTTCGGCTAAAAGACTAGCTATACGCAACTACATCCTCATATTCATCGCATTGCTGATCAGCAAATAAAAACGTCCGCCGCGTAGAAACTTTTAGATGATTCGCTAACTCTATACAACTAGCCAACAAGGTGCCATCTGAAAGCAAACATTATCGGTGTTTTTTCTAAATAGGAAACGGCAGATGCACTACCTTAAGACTTCGTATAGCAAATCTTCTGTGCTGATCATGTGATATTTGCCGGAATACTAAGAGTTAGTTCATAATTCATGCAATTGATTAACGCATACAAAAACTCGTAAGAGTCAATTCAGGTCTTAGATGTACTCCACATGTTATCTAATTGAGGTAACGTTTGGCTAATTAAAAGCCATTAGCGTTCATTTAATGTAATGGTCGGTATTTGAAAGGAGAGCAAAATGTGAAGAAAGATGAGTAATTTCGATCTCTTCTTATCTTGCGGAAGTATCCACTGATAAAGCGCATCTGCAGTGCAAATAAAGTACATTCTTTCTTACAAAAATGCAATTAAACATTGTAATGTGCTGCCCTTACCTGCACTTCCGATAGCTTTCGTAATACATGTGATAATCTTTTTCACTTTTCTTGGCAGGTGCGCACATCAAATGTCACATTATTCTGGAATTAAAAAATCGAATGGAATTCATCGAATAGATATGCATATGCCTTTCCTTACATGTGTGACTTAGTCAAAAGATCAGGACTTGGCTACCATCATTAGCCTTAAAGATACTAGAAACCAGAAGTAAATGAATTGTCGAGACAACTGTCCTCTTTCCAGTACATGTTGCATTTCGGGGATGGACACTTAAATAGGAAATATCACCGCACAAAAAAACATATTCTCCACTCGACCAGATGATAAAAGCAATCACACACATCCCATCGGTATAAACAAACATGTTTACAACTAAATACATCGATAAACGCAACGCGACACCAACACGTCCTCTCTCTCCCTCCCCTCCTTCCTTGTTATATACTCCAAAACAGCTCAATCCAAAGGAAGAGACGGAGGGAAAGAAGGACATTTACGGTGACACATCACACTGTGCAAAGAAGATAACCTAGCATGGAAAGGATGACCCGCGATGACCTACTCAATGTGTTATACTTCCGAGCAGCAAGTTTTAATGATGATCGTCAGTTAGTAACAGAAGTCACTGTAAAACAATAACCGATTGGAGAAGAGAACTACTTCAAGAGAGAATTGGAAAGATGGTAACCAATTCGACGCAAAAAAGATATGCGACGCAAATTGATGTTAAAGATTTTGCGATTTTATATAGTTTGAGAGAAGAGGGGAAGAATCAGGGGATGGATTAAGGTATCCCTCACTCTTTCCCATTATTGCCGGTGAAAACTTGTCCTGATAACGAGTGATTTATGGGAGTGCAGCAATCGGCTGATCATAGGAATCGTGGCAGATCATTTTCTTATCCAGCATCATATATCCTTGAAGGAATCAATCTGTTTAAAGATTCTTTTACAAGTCATTCCATATTCCCCAAACACTGTGAGTATTCAGTGCACTTCAGAATATATTATCAGTTTGCAAATATGAAAATAGTACGTAACGTTTTTAATCATGATTGTACAAGAGTGAGTGCTAATGTTGATTGTACAAGAGTGAGTGCTAATCATGATTATACAAGAGTGAGTGCTAATCATGATTGTGCAAGAGTGAGTGCTAATCATGATTGTACAAGAGTGAGTGCTAATCATGATTGTAAAAGAGTGAGTGCTAATCATGACTGTACAAGAGTGAGTGCTAATCATGATTGTGCAAGAGTGAGTGCTAATCATGATTGTACAAGAGTGAGTGCTAATCATGATTGTACAAGAGTGAGTGCTAATCATGATTGTAAAAGAGTGAGTGCTAATCATGACTGTACAAGAGTGAGTGCTAATCATGATTGTACAAGAGTGAGTGCTAATGTTGATTGTACAAGAGTGAGTGCTAATCATGATTGTACAAGAGTGAGTGCTAATCATGATTGTGCAAGAGTGAGTGCTAATCATGATTGTACAAGAGTGAGTGCTAATCATGATTGTACAAGAGTGAGTGCTAATCATGATTGTACAAGAGTGAGTGCTAATCATGATTGCACAAGAGTGAGTGCTAATGTTGATTGTACAAGAGTGAGTGCTAATCATGATTGTACAAGAGTGAGTGCTAATCATGATTGTACAAGAGTGAATGCTAATGTTGATTGTACAAGAGTGAGTGCTAATTATGATTATACAAGAGTGAGTGCTAATCATGATTGTACAAGAGTGAGTGCTAATCATGATTGTACAAGAGTGAGTGCTAATGTTGATTGTACAAGAATGAGTGCTAATCATGATTGTACAAGAGTGAGTGCTAATCATGATTGTACAAGAGTGAGTGCTAATCATGATTGTACAAGAGTGAGTGCTAATCATGATTGTACAAGAGTGAGTGCTAATCATGATTGTGCAAGAGTGAGTGCTAATCATGATTGTACAAGAGTGAGTGCTAATGTTGATTGTACAAGAGTGAGTGCTAATGTTGATTGTACAAGAGTGAGTGCTAATCATGATTATACAAGAGTGAGTGCTAATCATGATTGTACAAGAGTGAGTGCTAATCATGATTGTACAAGAATGAGTGCTAATCATGATTGTGCAAGAGTGAGTGCTAATCATGATTGTACAAGAGTGAGTGCTAATCATGATTGTACAAGAGTGAGTGCTAATCATGATTGTACAAGAGTGAGTGCTAATCATGATTGTACAAGAGTGAGTGCTAATCATGATTGTACAAGAGTGAGTGCTAATCATGATTGTACAAGAGTGAGTGCTAATCATGATTGTAAAAGAGTGAGTGCTAATCATGATTGTACAAGAGTGAGTGCTAATCATGATTGTGCAAGAGTGAGTGCTAATCATGATTGTACAAGAGTGAGTGCTAATGTTGATTGTACAAGAGTGAGTGCTAATGTTGATTGTACAAGAGTGAGTGCTAATCATGATTATACAAGAGTGAGTGCTAATCATGATTGTACAAGAGTGAGTGCTAATCATGATTGTACAAGAATGAGTGCTAATCATGATTGTGCAAGAGTGAGTGCTAATCATGATTGTACAAGAGTGAGTGCTAATCATGATTGTACAAGAGTGAGTGCTAATCATGATTGTACAAGAGTGAGTGCTAATCATGATTGTACAAGAGTGAGTGCTAATCATGATTGTAAAAGAGTGAGTGCTAATCATGATTGTACAAGAGTGAGTGCTAATCATGATTGTGCAAGAGTGAGTGCTAATCATGATTGTACAAGAGTGAGTGCTAATCATGATTGTACAAGAATGAGTGCTAATCATGATTGTACAAGAGTGAGTGCTAATCATGATTGTACAAGAGTGAGTGCTAATCATGATTGTACAAGAATGAGTGCTAATCATGATTGTAAAAGAGTGAGTGCTAATCATGATTGTACAAGAGTGAGTGCTAATCATGATTGTGCAAGAGTGAGTGCTAATCATGATTGTAAAAGAGTGAGTGCTAATCATGATTGTACAAGAGTGAGTGCTAATCATGATTGTACAAGAGTGAGTGCTAATCATGATTGTAAAAGAGTGAGTGCTAATCATGATTGTACAAGAGTGAGTGCTAATCATGATTGTACAAGAGTGAGTGCTAATCATGATTGTAAAAGAGTGAGTGCTAATCATGATTGTACAAGAGTGAGTGCTAATCATGATTGTAAAAGAGTGAGTGCTAATCATGATTGTACAAGAGTGAGTGCTAATCATGATTGTACAAGAGTGAGTGCTAATCATGATTGTAAAAGAGTGAGTGCTAATCATGATTGTAAAAGAGTGAGTGCTAATCATGATTGTACAAGAGTGAGTGCTAATCATGATTGTAAAAGAGTGAGTGCTAATCATGATTGTACAAGAGTGAGTGCTAATCATGATTGTACAAGAGTGAGTGCTAATCATGATTGTACAAGAGTGAGTGCTAATCATGATTGTAAAAGAGTGAGTGCTAATCATGACTGTACAAGAGTGAGTGCTAATCATGATTGTGCAAGAGTGAGTGCTAATCATGATTGTACAAGAGTGAGTGCTAATCATGATTGTACAAGAATGGATGATAATCAAGAATGGTGAGAATGATGAGAATACTGTTGTTAGCTCCATGCGGAGTATGACAACGTCCACGTGCGAATTAAGCAATTTGCTGATGGAATGTTCTAGTAACGTTCAGTGCTGGATAGTAAAAGGAAGTGAGTTTAGGAATTAGCAACAGAGATGTATGATACTTAGTGAAGTAAGAGCTTCTGTTTTGGAGAATTTGCGGATTGGCGGGAAACATGAGAGTTTTATAACAGACTCCGCTTTGGTGGGTACAAGCTGACTGTTCGCTTCTTACCATCAATTAACCCTTGTAATTTTGTTCCCATATCATAACGGTTCGAGTCAAGGTTGGGAACATCGAAATTGCAGTTATTTTTAAAGCTTGAGAGGAGTGTCTTGAAGTGCGAAATAGGCCGAAAATACGTATTGTATTAAAAAAAAAAAGCTGAATCAAATTGTCCTCTGACGTCAAGGATGATTTTAATCTTCTGCCATCGATGTTATTCATAGAGTTATGTTTCAGCTATTGATTCAGTCAAATAATATGCAAATGATGGAGCAGATTGTTCCACGTCAGGATGATCAAATTAAACTTAATGATTATGAGGTTTCTTCTACTCGTAAAATTATGTCACAGCATAAACACGTTTTGCTGAATGTAAAGCATAATTTATTTGTCATAAATTCATTAAAATACATTTTAGATGAACTTCTATCAGGATATCGAGTTGCTGCAAGGTCACGGAATTGTATGTTTTGCACAAAAATTTGAACCACATATGCTTGTAACATTATTACTTTTTATCTCTTCTGTTTGTTAACTCTCCTTCATTGAGTTTCTATAACATTCTGCAGATAAACAAAACTGTGTAAATGTTCAGTGATGCTAACTACATTTTTTAAACAACAACCGACACTTCTGATGTGCATATCAGGGTTATATATTCTGTGCATGATTTTTTTGCGGCTTTAATGAATTCAATTGAATAGATGAATTTAATTAGTAGATTTGAAAAGAAAATAATTGGAATAATTTAATTGGTAAGTCCAACTCTATAAGTCAAACATCTGATTTCTTTGAAGAACGTTGCTGATATCAAGAAGCTGTTAGGTGTCGGGATTTGCACGATCAAAGGTATTATGATGACCACGAGAAAGCGGTTGTGTGATGTTAAAGGTCTTTCTGAAGCAAAAGTCGACAAAATCAAGGAAGTCGCCTGCAAACTATCAGTGAGCAATTATTTTAAATTCATGTTTACTTTCTTTTGCACAGTATGAAAAACATGTTGTGGTGGGTTTTAGAACAATGGTTTTATTACGGCCTTGGAGGTGACAGAACGACGGAAGCTCTGTTATCGTATTAGTACAGGAAGCCGGGATCTGGACAAACTTCTGGGCGGTGGTATTGAAAGTCAGGCTATAACCGAAGTTTTCGGCGAATTTCGTACTGGGAAAACACAACTCTCTCACACTTTGTGTGGTATACTTTTTAGCAGTAGTGCATTTCTTTCGCAACTCTTCCCAGCATCGAATTGGACAAAAATTTTGTACAGATTAAAGGCTAACTAAACCATAATAAAAGTCTGGAGATTTTAATGATGCAGAGAATAATTCGCATTCCAAACTTGGAATTGGTATTTTGATGAAGGGCACTGGAAATCTTTTATGAAAATAGGTTATTATGTTTCAGTTTTCAACAGAACTGAAGGTAAATTTAATATTTCTAGTTATGTGCCAAATAGCAAGTGAGACAAGTAATTTCAAAGGTGGGAAAGTTATCTACATCGATACCGAGAATACATTCCGGTTAGTTAGAGTGCATTTCGAACATCGCATACATTTCCTGTCTTCAAAATTTTTGAATGTGCATAACTGACCGAAGTTTTTAAGACCGGACCGTTTGCGTCAGATTAACGAACGTTTCAAAATGGATCAAGAAGCGATGTTAGACAACATTTTGTATGCACGAGCGTACACTTCTGATCATCAAATGGAATTGCTGGATTTTGTCGCTGCAAAATTTCATGAGGTTTGATTTCTAAGTCAGAATGTTCATATTACAACTTTTATATTAACTCAGTGGTGAGTAGTCCGCTCATTTTTGCCATACAAAACCTAGAGAAAAACCGAACACACTAAACATTATGAAATATTTTTATTGTCACATTCCATGTTTTTTGAAACAGTAGGTGCCATCACGTCAATTTCTAGTAATGCTTCAGGAACTGGGTATTTTTAAGCTATTAATTGTTGATTCAATTATGGCTTTATTTCGAGTCGATTACAGCGGTAGAGGTGAGCTTGCAGAACGACAGCAAAAACTTGCGCAAATGTTGTCACGTTTACAGGTGAAAGAACTCATCCTATCTTATTCTGCGCAGTATTTTGCTTCATAACTTGAATCTTTATGACTTTATGCATATTTTGAGAGTTATAACTTTTTAGAAAATCGCAGAAGAGTACAATGTCGCAGTTTTTATTACAAATCAGATGACTGCAGACCCTGGCGCTGGAATGACATTTCAGGCAGATCCAAAAAAACCAGTTGGTGGACATATCCTGGCTCATGCCTCTACAACTCGTATCATGCTTAAAAAGGTACCAGTTTTAATAGTCTCTGATTTTACACAGTATAAGTAAATTCGGAATAAATTTTCTGGTTTTTGATAGTGCTTGCTTAATTTTATCAAGATATATCGCTTATGAATATAGCTTTCTTCCATGTTAATACTTAGTTGCACTTTCTTCTTGTCATATTTAGAACTTTCTTTAGTCACACTTTTCTATGATATAGTTAGAAATTAATTTTCATATATGTTCTCTAGACCCAGCATTTAAATCTTTGTCTCCGAATGCTGTTGCGACAATTTATAATGATGACATTTTCTCATCAACAAATTTCATCCAAATTTTAGGGACGAGGAGAAACAAGAATTGCAAAGATTTACGACTCACCAGATTTACCCGAAAATGAAGCTACTTTTGCCATTGCTACAATAGGTATTACCGATGCAAAGGAGTAAGACGAGCACATTTAACATACTTAGAATTCCCGAATATGTTACTTATGATTTTGACATTATATGTAATATACTTATCAAGATGTATATATTTAACAAATTTTATTTGTTGAAAATAAGTTACGCCATGCACAGAGAGTCAACTATTTGACTACAGTGTCCCTGTATCTATAAATTAGTTTTGGAAAAGTTGTCTTTTACTTGTACTGCTACACTTTCAAAACCATTCAAAGAATAACGTAAGTGGGGCGCACATAGGTGGTGCTTTCCCAAGTGAGCCAATTAGTTCCCCCTATTTCACTCAGATTATATAGCTTGAACCATATGATCTTCCTCTGTCACTGTGCAGTTAGCTTCAAAATTTCAGAATTAGAACAAACAGAATGAAAATGAAATACGAGGAAGGTTGCATCCAAAAAGTTTACTGGTATAATTGTCGAAACAATGATTTTTAGAAAACAACTGGATTATTCAAACTGATATTGAAGAGAAATGCTATTTGAGCAGAGTGCACTGTTTCCCTAATTATGTAGAATCAGTGGAAATAAATTAAAAAGGAAATATTTTGCGATTAGCATGCAGATTAAAAACTTGAAATGAACTATCGACTTTTGTTTACACACAAAGATAACGAAACCTTCCATAATTCCTTAACTGATTAAAAGATTTAAATTTAAATGAGATTGGAAAATAAGGAGGCTTTAAAAGCATTTAATTACGTGTGTTTGAGCTCAATGGTTTAGAATAAAATTACAGACAGAAGAGGCCACAAACTAAGACATTCATTTACAATAAAACAGAAACAACTTGAAGAAAGCCAAGAAATTAGAGCAAGCAGTGCTTGAGCAATGTCGAATTGGTCGAAAACAATGGTACATCCATACTTATATTGCAACCCGACTTCGCACCGGCAAGTATTACAGACTCACCAGATCATAAAGCTTCACTTCATCAGAATATAAAGCTGATTTCATATCAGAGCTAAACTATTTCGGAAGTGCAAAAACCGACCAACACAACTGTTCAACAAGATTTGTGTAACAGGTAGAGATGAAGTAAATTTTAGAACAGAAGTAAGTCGAATGATAAGGAATGTCATACTATTATTCAATTAATAAAAAAAAAAAGAAAACTCTGCTTGCGTCCCTGGATAGAACTTTAAACTTGAAAGCGCCCAATATGAATGATGATTGAAGTTGTAACTTATTATACATGAATTATTTACAAGAGTAATTCCAAAACAAACGGCAGTGGAAATTTCGCCCAAATAGAATACACTTTATATCGAAGCAAATAAGAGAAAAATACCAGCGAAAAGTGAAGATATGAAAATTTGGTAAAATTTTATAAGAATTTATGCGAACGCAAAACTGTTTCATGACGATAGTAAAGGTGAGCAAAAAAGATTAGAAGAGTGTAGATGATTGTGTTGACTAATATAATCTATAATTATAGAAATAATATATTGTATGCTTCCATGCTGGACGAAATCCTCACCGAGCAAGTGGAGAACGTGGGGCAGCAGCTGCTGCTGGGTCAACTATTTCTTTCGCTCTACGCTCCCATTCTCCGAAGTTCATATGTAACTCATCAGTATTCTTCAATACAATTGGATCAGGCTCACCATATTTAGGCGGATTGGCATTTGGATCATATCTGAAGAAAATTTTTCACAGAATCTTTCTCTCTTAACTCCGCTGACGTTCGTGTTGGATATAATCTTACTCAGGGATATATACCTTTCGATACTTCATAAGTATTTTAAGAACCAAAAATGTGAAACATTATGTCATAAACCTAAATAAATTAGCAAGAACATTCAAATCTGAGGTTTTTTTTTCTCAAAAAAAAAAAAAAAAAAAAAAAAAAGAAAAGAAGAAAAAAACAGTGTTACAAACCCAAGTTGGGCCAACATTGGTGCTATAGATGCCATTTCCTGTACAATATCCTCACTAAACGTACCAACCCATTTAGTTAATGCATCCAGATTCACTGGTTTAATGACCTGATCGGTGGATCTTTCAACTCTAGAAACAATATCGTTTTTTTCAACACATCAAAAAAGGAAGTATTCCATGCTCTTTAATATCAATTGCAAGAAATACATTTTAAACGAATATTTACTCCCTAAGCTTATTTTTGAGTTCCTATTTTATTTCTTCAATTAGACAAATTAAATTAAATTTAATGTTAATCATCAAAATATTACAGCCGATAAATGCCTACAAAGTTCAAAACATTTACAGCCAATAAAATGAAAATCAAACAAAATTACTGCACTTTATTGGAAAGAAGCAAAGAATACGGTAAAAAACAGAAATAATCATGCCCACTGAAACTATGCATAGAACAAGAAAATGATTTTGAAGATCACCATCAAACATTTTTCATGTCTCTAACATATCATGCTTTAGATTTCGCGGTACTCAGTCATCGAATAAAACATTAAGACTTATCTAGAACATGTAAAAATAGGATGAAAAAAAAAAAAATAAACATACTTTGACAACGAAATATCTTTACCGATCAGTTTGTCGTGGTGAAGTACTAAATCACTCCATGGAATATCTAAGAAATTAAGAACATGACGCAACTGTTGTTCCGGATGAAGTACTAACTGCTCATAATAAACAGTTAAGCATCGTTTTTGGCCTACTGTTTTACATTGCTGCAAAGTGAATTTAATAAAAATTAAGTATAAGCTTTATACTAAATGTGCAGTTCATCTCTTTTTTAATTAGACTTTATATTAAATTTCTATTTCACTGACTTTTGGCTTCGTATTTGATCTTGAATCAAAATTCCTGCATTGTTTCAAAAAAACTTTTTAAGTACAAACTTCGTGAGTTTTGGAGAAGTGCTATGAGTAAGCTCAAAATTAATTTCTACTTCAACAATTAGACAAAAAAAGAAATTGCATAAAGGCTATACCTCATACATTGTCTTGATGGCGTGATTCCATTTATCCAAACACTGTCTCGGATCGCTAAGGTCGAAACCTGTAATGGTTACCTGACGAGATATGATAGAATGAACAGTCGCACGGCCATCCCTTATCATCAATAAAAATTTGCTGTTTGGGAATAGATGAGCAAGATATTCTGCTGACTTCATCGTGAAAGGATCCTTATTGCAAAGTCTTTCAGCAGGTTCACCATGACCTGCTATTACCTGAAAAACCACAAACGTCCTCAGTTCCAACAAAAACATTACCAGAATTGAAACAGTAAGCAACCTACTTGTAATATAAATGATGAGATAGCGTCATTGATTACTTCATCAGTGACACCCGCTTCTTTTAATCGATTCCATTCCTTTTGACTCTTTTTCCATTGTGTCCTAAGTCCCAGAATGCGTGGTATTACACGTGTCTCTTCACCACTATAATTAAGATTATCTAATTAGATAGCATTATCGGTTGCTTTGTTAAGTGAGGAATATTATTAAATTAAGATACAGTCAACTGTGATGGTCATAACCAAGGGATACATACAATGACCAACCATCGCACGGAAGGATGTGCATCCAACATAGCACGAATCAGTGTTGTTCCCGATCGTGGAACACCTCCTAAAAAAATATATATATGTATATAAGACTATTTTATTATAAGAGCAGAGATTTATTTCCCAGATAAAAAATGGCAGCTGGAATGATGTTTATGACAACAGGATAACAACAAGTTTAGTGAAACTGTATTGCACTGATCACGAGCTGATGCAGTATTCCTCTACACACCTGTAAGTTATACTTTCTTCTAATGTAATAGGTTATCCGCAAAACCTAAAAGACTCTCACGAAAACGCTTAAAATAAGAAACTGGGACAAAAGTCGTTAAGGATCAATGAAGATTTCGATCACTAAATTCTGCAGCTAATTAGAAAGATTACTAGTGGAACACTGAAAGAAAGAAAGTAAAAGAATAGTTCAAAGCTGAAATATGAAGAAGAAAAAGATATATGATAAGTCACTCAAAAGACTAAACAATTTCCACTACTGTATCCTAAAAAAACAAAGACTTGGGGAATATAAATCAATAAGAAAACTAACCAATGAAAATGAGTGGTGAGTATTTCGACAAATTACCCATTTTTTGTCCGGGTAATATGACAACATTATATCGAACTACACTGAAGGCAGAAAATAGTGCAGAAGCCGAAATAAGCATGTATAACTCATAAGTACAACCCATAAGTACAACAATTAAAAGTATTGTCCGAGCCCGTCCTCTCATCAACATCGCCGATAGGTTATGCTGTAAATTACGTCTCCATAGCAAACCTAAAACAGGAATATTTACATTTTATCCGTATTACAACGCTAATATTGGATGATTAAATAATGAATGACTAAATCTACAATTAATTTTGCTTGTTGATTTCAATTCGCAGTCGATAATAAATATATTCCTCATCAGATTACTATGTTTCGCTACGAAACAAAAGAAAAAGATTAGTACGAGAGAGTTCCTTATGCCTCAGCTTAAAAAGCATAGCTTGACACGCATATCAACTGAAACAATCTCATTGTTAAGACTATCGCCAAAACTACCATTTTCACCAAAATCAGATATTAATTTAGTCTAAGTAGTTCGTCTTTGACGTCTACATATTTAGTCATACAAACAATAAATGAACTGCCCCCTTTTCATCTTATAAATGAAGAATTGAAGACTGAATATTCTCATTCTGCCAAAATATTTTCTAACCGAGCCATAACTATCCTTATAAATCGTTAAAAAACAGTAATTAGTAATAGCTCCAAATTACAACCCGCATGAAACAGAATCACACAATTAAATGAATAAATGTTTGAAAATTTTGGTAATAATCATCTATTTCTTCCTCTTCCTTAATACCACTTTCTCAATTACCTCAATTACAGCCCATTGCAAACAAGTTATTCTCATCAATATTCGAATATGTGCAGATTCAGGTCGTCCTATTTTTTGTTCACTCGTGACAGAGTATTTCATATACAGAAATAAAAGATTTTGATACGGTCGGACATATTAAAATCAAAACTTCGTATTAAGACCACTGCCATTCTAGATGGCAGCTTAGTAAAACTTCCTCTATTTAAATTCCTAATAAAAGAAACTCACAACCCATGATCATCTGATAATGACTACCTGCAATTACTTCAACTAGTCAACCAAATTCTGTAAAGATAAGGATGGAAAACTTTTTCGACCACTGAATTTTTCATGCCCTTCTTTCTCATTCCAAATATAACACATGCAAAAAATTGACCTTATCTTATTCTTACCACGTTCTTTTGCAAACATACAAATGCCAAACATACTCGAAACAAATAAAGCTTCGCTACATCAGTTTAAAAGAAAACTAAAATTTATGAGAATTGAAAGAAACTCAAATAACTAGAAAATGAGATAAACATTTGAACAGAAATCTTATAGTACAATTTTCTTCTTACAATATAATATAATGAAAATTTAGAGTATAATATAATAAAAAAGATAGAAACGATATGAACACACAAAGAATTTGAAAGATAATTTTTTTTCTGAAAATATGTGGACTAGAATTTTGAAAGTAGTAATATAAGTAACTAAGCAAATAACGCATTTATATATTTGTTTATCTCCCAGTTTATTTTAAAAAATATAATGCTTTTCTCGTTGCCTCCGTCTAAAAATAGAAAGAGAGGAATACGTGAGAGACACAACCTTACCGAAAATTTCTCTACAGTGTCAAAAAGCTTCTGAAAGTCATTCGTTTTAATGAATATTAGAAAAACAACTATTTCGTCATCAAATTTTAAATTAAAATGACACGATTTAAGCAATCTTTCCATCCCTAAACACATGGTGATAGATTAGCCAGTACTCGTTTTCATATCATCTAAAAGAAGTATTAGTAGTTTGACAAATAATTTTCGATCATTTTTACTGATTGATCAGAACTGTTGTTTAGCATCTGCAGCATCAAACCTAAGAACCACTATTTTTTCAGTTCTTCAGGAAATAATATCTAGTTAAAAGCTATTTCTCAACATTACAATCAAAAATGGATGGAAACAGTTTACTTTTAACATCAGGCCATCGACATAATTGTCGCGACATTCACATGCCCAGAAATGCCAACAAATCAGTTCAGCTGTTGTCGTCACTGTGGTTGTTGGGAATGATGAGACACAAATCAATTCGATGTGATGATTATCATATATGCCTGCAACGACATCATTAAAAATTCATCAACAACTATTATTATTATTGCGAGAGCGAGCGAAGCCTTACAACAGTTGATTCCATCGATCAGATTAGCTAAGTTTTCACCGGAAATGACTTACCAATATATATCTTTTTTTTACGACAGGAAGAGAAAAAATTCAGTGCATTTCTTTTAATTTTTTATTTCAAACTTTTTAAGAAACTAAACTAACAGAGAATCATGAATACTAACAAAGTTATTTGTTAAAAGTGTAATTTAATGATTAAGAATTCATTTGGAAATGATTCCGACAATGACTTCCCAGAAATGACTCTCAGGTATATATCTTACACATACTTAAAAACTTATTCTTATGCAGACTTAAATGGTGAGAGAGCACCTGGGAATACATTTGTTATCACAAATGACGTCAATTTTCCATTCTGAGAAAGACTGAATGAGATTTAAAGCAAGTGGAGAAAAAAGAATGAAATTTAACCTGTCGATAGTTTTAGTGAATAACACAATTAATTGCACCTTTGAAGGTTTTCTGAAGATCTCGTTCTCGCATGCAAGAATGTCTACACTGTAAAATATCAATAAGTACACTTCTTTCCGCTTAGCGATTTTTTGAACAAGGGAAAAAGTTTCTACAAATCTACAACAGTGCAAGCATGGAACCTGATCGGTTTCCAACGACCAGAAGCTTCGTCATATCTCAGTATTAACGTGACAGCAAACTGATAACTTCAATCAGTTATTAATAGCTCAGAAACCTACTATCGAGCTACAAAGCTTTTGAGTGGTAACTAACTTGACTATATACTTTCTTCTGCAGTGTCTTGCTTTGTTCAGCTGTTACTGTTTTTAATCTATATTGGTGCAAAAATATCTAACTATCACTGATGGAAAACATCCGCCATAATGAATTTGGGTAAAACTGAAAACGTAAATATTTATCAAACAGTGGGAAAGAGATGACATGGAAGAGAGTGTGTATTCATATAAGGACTATCATAACGGCAAGACAAAAGCAGAAACAATATAAAGAGGAATAAATTAAGAAGAAAAACAGAAAAAGGAGATAACTAGGAAAAAAGGTATTGCAGTTAGCAAATAATCCATGAAAGAGGAAAACAATAATGTGACGTCAACAATTTATTATCATATATTTGTATCCTATTCTTGACAAGGGATAGTCCCAAATGTGTACGGACGTGGTAGAACTTGATGGATCGATGGTGATTCCTAGATAACCTTCATTTCCATCCTAAAACATGTTTCTTTTTTTTGAAATGAAGCAAAGAAGATTAAAAAAGACATGGCTTCTGTCTTTTTTTACTATTAGAAACGAATTTTCTCATAAAATTCGTCATAATTAGCTTTGCATTATTTAAACTAAAGCTATATTCTTATTCCTGAAAAAAAAATATCCAGGCCAGCAATAAACAAATTTATTGCCATCAACAGCACAAAAGCTTCTTGTCATTTTTTCATGTGATCAAACATCGAACCACAAGCATAGATAAAATTAAAGCGTAAATAAGAACTAAAACAAGTGTTTGAAGACAAATGATATGTCTAACTGTGAACACAACAGAATGGATGGCCTAAAACGAAATATACATGAGAAAGATTCTCATCCATCAACTGACCTACAAAGCACATAAAAATTCATCTTCAAAAGTTTTTAAAATGAAAACAACCTACTAACAACACATAAAAAAATTCATCTTTCTCCACCAAAAAAGGCATAACTAATGTATATATGACCAAAAATTTATCCAGTGCGAACAAGTACCGCTAATTTAGTTTTAAAATCGGATCTACAACCAAAATGTATTATAACTGCTTACCATTTCCGAAGTTTTATCCAGACACTTTTCATCATTACCTTTCGAATATACACTAGATACTTTGAATGACTTTTACTTAAATCTACAGAATAATGGACCCAACTAATTAATAAAAAAGTATTTAAGAGCGAATAAAAACGAAGGATTGAAAATGGATGTCTCAAGCTTATCCAGAAAATTTATACAAGATACCGTCACGTATAGGGGAATTATTAACGTGAAACCTTCTGTACTGAATAAGTATGAACTGAATAAACAGACCTGCACTAAATCTGTACTGAACAGACCGTTACAAATCACTGCTTCCCAATAAATTCATCTATTCTGTCTTAAATAGCTATACATTACCAACTTTCTCTCAGGAAAATTCCAAGTAATGAACACTTCGCATGTGCATTTAAACCATAATTAAAAGCTCCATTCCATTCTACAAGGCACATAAGTACTAATCTATTCGTCAGCTTCATAACCAAATAGTTAACAACCCAGTCTGAAGCAATTAGTAAGTCTGTGAAACTTGTGGAAATTCATTCCACATTTGCAATAAATCGTCCATAAATATATAAAATGGAACAAGCAAAACGAAAAACTGTAGGACTAGAGTCTAAAGAATCCGATTCTTGTTCTCTTTAACTGTTAATAAAAACGGTGGATCTTTTGTCGATATATTTCTTCTACTAATTATTTAAGCTACATAATAAATGAGTTGAATTTCATATAAGATAATCATAAAAATCTATCTTGCTGAAAAAATGTTTTATGAACCATAAAATCACCAAAACAGTTACCGCTGTGCTCAATAATATTTACTGAAGAAATATATTATACACTGCGATGATAGAGTTAGAATTGTTCTTGCATTTGTTATAAAGAAAAGAAAGTAATATTCAGAAAGACATAATCATTAAAAAGGTCAAGTATTACCTATAAATCTAGGAAATAAAAATGTACGTCCAAAACAGGACAGTAAACCATTCGAATTATCATTAGTGCACCTGCTATTAACCCATTAAAATATTCGAAAATTAGATCAGGCCAACAGAAGAAAAGAGGAACGAGGGAAATAACAGAATTTGTTGGATTTTATGTTCTCACTGAAAAGTAAAAATCTGAAAAAACTTTAAGAGGTTAAAGAAATGCAGCATACAAAAAAGTAAAACCGATAAAATGAAACAGGCAACAAACATACGAATATCCATCATGATCCATAG